GGCTACTCAGTGAGACCTTTTCTTAACATAAAGAAGCACGATTTAATCCCAAACAGGAAAAGACATTCACTATAGAAAGAGCTTTGGAGAGCTTTGTAAAACCAGGGTCAGAAAAACAAGGAAATCAGTCGCAGATGTTCATAAAGAATTAAAATTCTTTCCCTGAAGAAAAGTTCTGGGGAATGCTATTTAGTCTTCCATGGTGAAGACGAAATCTAAGAGGTCTGTGCACTAACAAATGTCAATTTTGTGTTGTGAGTGGCTATTGATAGAAATGCAGTTGGGCTCTCTTTACAAGATAGAACGAGAAACTCTATTTTATGCAATCTAAAATTCATTATAAATAAAACACTAAGTGCTCTCAGAATTAGGTGGAAAGAACATTTTGTAAAGCAAATAAAAGCTATATTTTGTAATGTGGATATTTTTAACACTTTGTTCACAGGAGTTTGAGGATTCTGGCAGCACAACACTTCATCTGTTTTAATAACTCCTGATAATGTCTCTTTTATTTTTTGAAATTTTACTAGTGTCCCATGATTCCTTTAACAAGAAGCCATTGCAAATTCTTTGAGGGAAAAGATTCAGAATGAGGCCCTTGAGGGGGGTGGCTTAGAGAGGACTTTAAACTAAATTTTTAAAACTGCCTTTCGGGGATGGATGGACGGCTCAGCAGTTAGGAGCACTAGCTGCTCTTGCAGACGACCTGGGTTCGATTGCCAGCACCCACATTGCAGCTACAAACCATCCCTAATTCCAGTTCCAGCAAATTCGATGCTGTTTTCTGACCTTAGCGGGCATTGCATGACACGGATGCACCTACCTACGTTCAGGCAGTCCACTCATACACATGAAACAGAAATGAAATATTTTTTAAAAGCTACCTTTCATGGCCCAAATGCTGTAGTAAACTGGACAACGTTCACCCCCTCATGTCTAGGAGGAGATATTGCACACTGCAGTATGCTATAATGAACTACAATACAATTTACAGATTAGAATCATTGGTTTAAGTGTAAGAAAAAGATTTAGGGCCCCCCAAGCTGATAAGACACTTCACTGATGTTTTTACAGAAATATTTATTTCTAACAAGTGAATATCTAAAAACTGCTTCAGAATTTTAGCTGTTAATATTATAGTTTTAATTAATTAATTTATTTTTATTTGTGTGTATGAGTACTTTGCTTGCCTGTATGTAAGGGCACCTGAGTCATGCACTGACCATGGCAGTCAGAAGAGGATGTCGGGATGGTTTTTAATGCCCTGTAGGTGCTGGGATCTGAACCCCAGTCGTCTGGAAGAGCAGCAAGTGCTCAGCCACTGAGCCATGTCTCTTGCCTCTAATAACAATCATAAATGAAATAGGGCATTTTGGCATATGAAGAAAATCATTTCTTGAATCTTTTATTAGAGAGACTCACAGTACATACACAATGTTTTCACACGATACACACACACACACACACACACACACACACACACACACACACACAAAAAAAAAAACCACAAAGAAACATTAATTGGAGAAAGCTATTTGGAAAGCCTAACTAAATAAGAGGCAAGGTCAAGACATCATGGAAAGTTAGTCAACGCAGTTTATAAAGAATTAAAATCTGGGACTGGAGAGATGGCTCAGCGATTAAGAACACTGGATGTTCTTGCGGAAGACCCAGGTTCGAATCCCAGCACCCACATGGAAGCTAAGAACTGTCCGTAACTCCAGTTCCAGGGGATCCGACAGCCTCTTCTGTCCTCCGTGGGCATTGCACGACACAGTGCACTTACCTACCTGCAGGCAATACACGCATACACATAAAATAACAATAATAAATAAAATTTAAAAAAGAAAAAGAATTAAAATCTTTGTCCTATGGAGACTGGGGAAGAGGAAGAAAACTTTTTTTTTTATATCTAATCACTGCAATCTTTAATTTTATCTGAAGGAATTAAAATGCTTTGCATGCAGCAATAAAGGCTTGGGAATGGAACTCTGAAAATCCCCCTGGTAAATTTTACTGTTTTGGAGTATTTGACAAAGGAAGATAACTTCACTTTCATAATCTCTGAGAGTTTATCTTGCCTTAAGAATTCCGACCGGGCACCTCCAGGAACTTTAATAGATAGATCGTATCAGGCCACGGAGGACTTATCTGGATTTTGCAAATCCTCTGTTGTGTTATTGGAGAACAAAATAAATGTGTTTTTTACCTTTGAAAAAATACACTGAATAGCCTAATAGATGTCCTGGACAGAGAATGCATCCTTCCCTGGCTCCCCGGTGCTTAATACGAGATTTGCATCTAACAGACCCAGTCAGTAAAATCAGAAGTCTGGAAAAGAGTAGAGAGCTTCAAAACTTTTTAATTTGGACAAGTAAGGGACATGAAAACTTACCATGGGGGTTCCAATTAAATACGAAATGGAGGTGCCTAATTACTGAGGGAGAGCACATGTATGAGGTATAATATTGGATTTTCCAAAAATATGTAACAACACAAAAAAATCAATCAAACAAAGCTGGATTATTTTTTAAATATATTGATTTTTGTACCTAACAAAGCTTGTAATGTGAAGACCCCTACCAGTTATTTTTTTCTTTTGTAGAATCTATTATTTTTTTATTTTTCTTTTTTAATGAATAGACCACCTGCATGTAAGTGTACCTTGTCTGGAAATGCCCTCAGAAGACAGAAGGTGTTGGATCTCCTGGACCTGGAGTTAGAAATGGTTGTTAGCCACTATGTGGGTGCCGGGAATTGAACCCCAGTCCTCTGTAAGAGCAATCAGTGCCCTAACCACTGAGCCATCTCTCCAGCTCCACAGCTTTTTTTTTCTATTCTATCAGTATTAGTTTTGTGTTTGTACATTAAAGACTTAGACAACTTTTTCTTCTTGTCATAACCACAATAATATATTTACAAATATATAAAAGATTTTTATTGTGTGTGTATACATATATGCATGTGCCAAACAGTATATATCAAGGTTAGCAGACAAACAACTTCTTCTTCTTCTCCTCCTCCTCCTCCTCCTCCTCCTCCTCCTTCTCTCTCTCTCTCTCTCTCTCTCTTTCTCTCTCTCTCCCTCTCT